CCCCCCGGCCCAGGAGGCGAGCCCCTCGCTGTCCTCAGCAAAGGCAGCTGGAGAACGATGCCTGGAGGGGGCCAGGAGACTCAGTTTTGGGTGCCCTCCAGCCTGCCCCGCAGGGCACGGCCCTGCCAAGAAGGAGCGGGCTGGTGGGTCTGGGGGGGCTTCGGGGCAAACTGCTTCTTGTAGAGAGCACTGCTGTACTGCAGCTCCGGGGTCACCAGCCGCCGGCACGTGCGCTCCGTCTCCTTGTCCAAGCCCTGCTTGAGGTTATAGCCCAAGATCTTTGCATTGCCGTGCTGCAGTGGCTGCAGGGAGGAGTCCTTGATGTCCGTCGGGGCCAAGCTGCCCGACCCTTGCAGGCAGGTCCTCGCCAGCTCCGTCTGCCTTTCCCGAAGCGCCTTTACTTCCCGCCGCATGCGCTCCCGGCCAATGTCTCGCTCGATCCTTTCCCAGAAGGTCCTGTTGAAGTGGGTGTAGATTTCCCAGTCCAGCCTGTTCCAGTCCTTTATCTTCTCCACGATGGTGTCTGAAAGGGGGAACTTGGTGCTGCTGTCCCTGATGTTGAGCGGGAAGGAGACGACGCTGTCCAGGTCCCAGCACAGCATCTCCTTCAGCAGCACCATGGACTCGTCGAAGTACTCAGAGATGAGGAGCAAGTCGAAGGACGCTTCGATGGCCTTCAGCATGAGTTGCACGCGTTCCGCAGAGACCTCTCCGTCAGGGTTGAAGCCGAAGTCAAATGTCATGAGGTTCCTGGCGTAGTGGCTGTTGCTGTCCATGGGGTTGTAGTAGTTGTAGGGCTGGCTGAGGAACTCCTCCAGGCTGCGAGCGCGGGAGAAAGCCGATGTGCCCTTGTAGTACGCAAAGGAGGACTCCATGAGCTGCACAGGGTTCCTCAGGATGGAGAAGTAGACGGCTGAGCTGGGCACCACTTTCTGCACCTGCAGAGGAGAAAAAGGAAGTTTTAAAGGTGGGATAGGGAGAAGGAACCTGCTCGCTCGCCATCCTGTGTTCTGCTGGAAAGCAGAAATGCTTGCTGGGGTGGGAGATGGGTTCTGGGGAGGGTTTCAGGGTGCAGCTCATCAAAGGAGTGTTTGTGTCAGCTGTGGGGAGGCCCCGTGACCGAATCTCCCCGCTACGTGCTTCCACAGCCAGGTGGCCTGTCCAGGCTTGAGGTACGTCCTATCTCCTTGCCTTTCCCCAGATCTGGGTGTCCTCAAGTCGCATCCAGGCAGGTGGACGCTGGGCACGGCTGACCTGAGCTGCTGCGCTTAAGGTGTTCCCCTCTTGCAGCTGGTACCCCCTGAACCTGTCCAGGGAGCAAGACATCCTCTGAGGGCCCACCAGACAAGAACGAGATGATAGTTGCTGACTGCTACAGATGCTGTCTACTGGCTTGTCTTGGTTCGCAACACAATGATTCATCAAACCTGTTTACAGAAGCTCTCCGGAGATGCCCATAACATGCAAGGTACCTGGGGAGTCTTCCTAGTACTTCCAGGTACTAGAAGTACCTGGTCCTTCTTCATCCAGCTTCATCCCTGAAGAGCTTATGTGCTCTATGGGTGTCCCACCTTGCTCCCTATGGGCCCCTCTCTTCCTCCCCCCTGCTTGCCCCTCCCAAGGCATTACGGCTTTGCCCGTACCTCCGGCTGCAGGAATCGCATGTGGTGGCAGAGGATGTTGAACTGCTGAGGGCTCCTGGGGGAGAAGCCCTTCACGAACCTCGCCAAGAAGTGGTGCGGGTAGGAGAGCTGGTTGCCACCCCCAGCGGGGAAGGCGAAGGTGAGGTTGTGCGTCTCGCCGAAGCGGAAGAGGATGTTCATGACGGTGCTGCTGGCACTCTTGTGGACTTTCAGGAAAACAATGTCAGTCTTGGGCTCACACGTCTGCCCTTGAGAAGAGACCACTCTGGCCTGCTGGCCTTCTCCAAGAGTCACCTCACCAACCGGAGAGACTTCTGTCCAGTTTGGGAAAAATCCCTTCTCCAGGTCTGTCTTGTAAAAGTCCTCTGCCTGTGGAGGTCGAGCTGAATTTGGCACGGTCTGTCTAAGTGAGCTGCCCCACTGATGGTGGGGGGAACCCATGGCTTGAGGCTGAGACCGGCTCTGTACCACCACCCGTGTCGTTCCTGGTGGCGAAGTTCTCCTGTGCTCCTCTGTGCTCACCCTCTTTGCAAAGACCGTGAACTTGCCGGTGGCAGCATCAGCATCTCCCAAAACTGTGGAGACCCTCCCAGGAAGACTCGGAGAAGGACCGTCTCTGGTGGCTTTTCTCAGGCCAGGAAGCTGGGATTTCAGCCTCGTGGATGGAAGATGGATTTTCACCTTCTTGCTGCTCTCCACAGGCTGCCACGTCCGGCGCTGCCCGTGGCTGCCCGGGCC